AGAGACAAAAGGTAGAGTGACGGTGGCAGGGCCGTGGGAAGGGCAAACGAGGAATCACTGTTTAACGAACGGTGCGGAGTGTGAGTTCAGGATGATAAGAAGGTTCCGGAGACAGACAGAGTGGGTGGACGCACAACAACACGAATGTCCTTCATGCCACTGGATGGGACAACTTAAAAATGCTTAAAATGGGCCGGCGCAGTGGCTCACACCTGTAATCGCAGTGGCTCACACCTGTAATCGCAGTGGCTCACACCTGTAATCCCAGCTGAGGCGGGAGATCACCTGAGGTCAGGAGTTCGAGACCAGCCTGGCCAACCTGGTGAAACCCCTTCTCTACTAAAAATATAAAATTAGCAGGGCGTGGTGGTGGGTGCCTGAAATCCCAGCTACTGAGGGGCTGAGGCAGGAAAATCTCTTGAACCGGGTGGTGGAGGTTGCAGTGAGCTGAGATCACGCCATTGCACTCCAGCCTGGTCAACGAGAGTGAAACTCCATCTCAGAGGTTAAAGTGGTAAATTTTGCTATGTATATTATACCACAATAAAAACCTCCACATTACATATGGAATATATACATATAATCTCTCATGCAAAGTAGTCTACTAAGGTGGCCAGGAGCTGGAACAGCATGCTGTCTGCTGCCCCCACCCTCACGGCTCATCTCCACTGGGGTGCAGCGAGCCCTGCGCAGCTGCCCATGCTCCTGGGATGGGGGTCACCTGGCCATCGGGCTAAAGTGCAGAATCTGACTCAGGAGGCCTGCCCGGGGTCTAGGTTCTGCTGCTGCCAGCCTGAGGACCTCACTGAGGGGGAGACCGCCACGCTTCAGCCTGTCATCAGCCCACGGCAAGAGACCACCTCTCACTCCAAGTGAAGCCTGACAGGAGTTGATCTTTTCACACCTCCCCACTCTCCTGCCTTCCTCTGACACTGTCCACCTGGTCACCGTCACAGCCCAGCAACAGATCACTCCTGCCTGGGGCTGTGGCTACAGGGTAACAGGCCAGAGTTAATCAGATTTGGAATTAATTCGGTTTAGAATGTGCTTTTGCACCTGCTGTAGAAAAGTGCCTGGTTAAGTAAACAAGAGACCAACAGCTTTGGTAAATGGGAACAAAGTGTCTTCAAACAATCCAGAAAGTGTTATCAGCCCAGGTGCGAGAACAGCACAACTGCCCCCTGAAAGCTCACGTCCTCCTTACCTTCTCATTAACCGAGATTCACTAGAAGACTCGGAAAGTATTTACAACTCCCTCCATTCCTTCTGACTTCTCAGTTTTCAGGACAAGCAGCCAGGTTAGCAGAGAACTGCCTGCCCTGATCTTGGTATTAGTGGAATTCTCTGGGCCAGAGCCCTTCGCGGGCCTGGGGCTCCGCTTCCTCAGTGTCCCTGCACTGAATGGATCTGATTCCTTTAACCAAGTCGGCCAAAGTGAGACTCCACCTCAAAAAAAAAAAAAAAAAATCTAAACAGGGGTTTCTCAAAATATCAAATTATTTAGAACAGTGTCTTGTCTAGGGTACTCATTCAGGCAATATCTCAATTACTTCTAGCAGCTTTGCTGTACAGAATAGAAGGTGGGCTTTTTTCCACTTCTCCATAATACAAAGTCCTCTGAGAAACACATGATAGAGTCCCTCCAGGGACTAGGAGCTAACTGACTGCGAGCCACACACACAGACTCACACACACATACACGCACGTACACACCATGCCACACACACATACTCACAGGTGCATTCTCTTCTTCCCACTGTCTGTGTCCACACTTCATACACCCAGAATCAGAGACCGCAGATGCTCACGCACGGAGACAGTAACCAGTGACCACCACCAAGACCGGGTGCAAACAGCCGGGGGCAGGAACTGCCAAATAATAAGCGTGTTTGTTGGTGGTGTTTTTAGGGGTTTTTTAAATTAGAACACTTTCCGTATTTTCCTCTCAGCTTTACGGCGGTATAAATGGCAAGCAAAGCTTGTACATAGTTAACATGTACAACATGACATTTTGATGTATTATGAAATGATTACCACTATTAAGTTGATTAACACATCTACCACTGCACATAATTTCCATGGGTGTGCAGTGAGAACACTTCAACTCTACCTCTCAGCAAATTTCAAGCCTATGACACGGTACTGTTAATTACAGTCACCTGCCTGTGACTCTGCATTAGACCTCAGAACTTATTCAGCCTGCAGAACTGAATCTTTGCAGCCTTTGAGTAAAAGCTCCCCAATTCCGTCTCTCCACCCACCTGCCCGCCGGCCCCTGGTAACCACCATTCCGCTCAGCTTCAGTGAGTTCAGCTTGTTTAGATGCCATCAGTGAGACCATGTGGTATTTGTCTTTCATATCTGGCTTATTTCACTTACGATGATGTCCTCCAGGTTCACAAACCAGGATTTCCCCACTTTTTTTAAGCTTGAATAGCACTCCATCATGTATATTTACCACATTTTCTTTATCTGCGTACATCAATGGAAACTTCCGTGATTTTGTATCTTGGCTGCTGTGAACACGGAAGTGCAGACGTCTCTGAGAAATACTGATTTCCTTTCTTCTGGATAGATACCCAGCAGGGGGATTCTGCATCATTTGTTAGTTCTAGTTTTAATTTTTTGAGGAAGCATCATACTGTCTTCCGCCATGGCTGCGGCCATGCACATTCCCACCAGCAGTAAATGGGGTTCTTTTTTCTGCACATCCTCACCGGCACTTACCCTCTGTCTTTCTGATGACAGCCATCCTTGCAGGTGCCACCTGACAGCTCATTGTACTTCTGACCTGGCTCTCTCTGCAATTAGTCATGTTGAACGTTTTTTCGTATACTTGTTGGCCATTTATACATCTTCTTTTGAGAAATGTCTTTTCAGTTCAGGACTTTTGCTCATTTTACTTTTATTTTTATATTTTAGAGACAAGGCCTCACTCTGTCACCCAGGCTGTATGGTGGTGTGATCTCGGCTCACTGTAACCTCAAACTCCTGGGCTCAAGTGATCCTCCTGCCTCAGCCTCCCAAGTAGGTGAGACTACAGGCGTGCACCACCTTATCTGGCTAATTTTTCTTCTTCTTCTTCTTTTTTTTTTTTTTTTTTGTAGAGGCAGGGTCTTGTTATGTTGCCCAGGCTGGTCTTGAACTCTTGGCCTCAAGTGATCCTCTGACAGCTCGGCCTCCCAAAGTGCTGGGATTACAGGTGCGAGCCACAGTGCACGGCCCTTTGCTCGCTGTTTAATCTGGTTACTTGTTTTCTTGTTACTGAGTTGTTTGAGTTCCTTGTATGTCTAGATATTAATCCCTTATCGGCTGTATGCTTTCCAAGTATCTCCTCCCATTCTGGAGGCTTTCTCTTTATTTTGCTAATTGTTTCTTCTGTTTGGCAGAAGCCTTTTGGTTTGATGCCAAACCATTTGTCTGTGTTTGCTTTTGTTCTCTGTGCTTGGAGTCACATAAAAAAGAATCATTAGCCAGACCAATGTTGCAAAGCTTTTTTCTTATGTTTTCTTCTAATGGTTTTATAGTTTCAGGTCTTATGCTTGAAACATTAATCAAATATGGGTTTTTTTGGTTTTTTTTTTTTTTTGAGATAGAGTCTCACTTTGTCACCCAGGCTGGAGTGTAGTGGCACAATATTGGCTCATTGCAACCTCTGACTCCTGGGTTCAAGTGATTCTCCTGCCTTAGCCTCCTGAGTAGATGGGATTACAGGTACCTGCCACCATATCCAGCTAATTTTTGTATTTTTAGTAGAGATGGGGTTTCACCATGTTAGCCACACTGGTCTGAAACTCCTGACCTTAAGTGATCTGCCCACCTCAGCCTCCCAAAGTGCTGGGATTACAGGCATCAGCCACCATGCCCAGCCTGAGTTTTGATAGGGTGTGAGACAAGGTTCTGGTTTTGTTCTTCTGCATATGGATATCCAGTTTCCCTGGTACCATTTAGTGAAGAGGCTGTCCCTTCCCCAAAGGTTCTTGGCATCTTTGTCAAAGGTCAATTGACAGTAAATGTGTGGATTTGTTTCTGGGCACTCTACTCTGTTCCATTGGTCAGTGTGTCTATTTTCATGCTGGTGCCATGCTGTCTTGCTTACTTTATAGCTTTATAGCATATTTTGAAGTCAGGCAGTATGATACCTCCAGCTTTATTCTTGCTCAAAATTAAGCAAGAATTTTGCTGGCTATTCTGAGTCTTTTGTGGTTCCACATAAATTTTAGAATATTTTTTTCTATTTCAGTACAAAATGCCATTAGAATTCTGATAGTGATTGCATTGAATCTATGAGTGGGATTTTAAAGCAATTCTACCTTGACACATGGTAAAAAATAATTTTCCAAAAAGGGTAAAACCATGACTCTGATACAGATAGAAAAATAAAGACACATTAAAGATCTCATTTAAGTCATTCAATGAAGGAGCCAGGCCTAGATCATAACCAGCTCTAAGTCGTGAAAAAGGCAGAGGGATGTGTGGCGTAGACAGACAGGAATGCCAGAGCTTGTGGAGGGTAATGTTTAGGGAGACACGCAGAGAGGAGTGCCGTCGTGACGGAAACGCAGGCAGAGCGCCTCGCTGAGGGAAAGGGACGCACCACACGCCCTCAAATCTCAGGTCGGTCTCTGACGTGGTCTGGCTGTGTCCCCATTCAAATCTCAACTTGAATTGTGATTGAAATATGGGGGCATAGTCTTTCCCATGCTATTCTCATGGTAGTGAGTAAGTCTCATGAGATCTGATGGGTTTATCAGGGGTTTCTGCTTTTGCTCCTTCCTCATTTTCTCTTGCGGCCACCATATAAGAAGTGCCTTTTGCCTCTTGCCATGATTCTGAGGCCTCCCCAGCCATGTGGAACTGTAAGTCCAAGTAAACCATTTTTTCACACTCACTGAGTGTTCGCTCTACACACATCAGGATATTAAAACTAGAAGGAGCTTGGAGATCCTTGTGCTGAGATGGTGACGCAGGTGGACGCATGGCCCCCAGAGCTTGGACAAGTCTAGAGAAGTGCATGAGGGCCGCCCTGGGAAGATGATAAAACCCCTGCACTCCCCTCAGAAAGAAGGAGAGGCAAAGCAACATATAGAAAGGGCACAATAGAAGTCTATGAAATACGGCCTGTAATGCTGAGGACCTCTTCACCGTCCTTCGTTCTCTATTATTAAGCAGTTAATGACTACTAATTAATGAGTCGCTGAGGGAAAGGGACGCACCACACGCCCTCAGATCTCAAGTCAGTCTCTGATACGGTTGGGCTGTGGCCCCATTCAAATCTCAGCTTGAATTGTGTCTCCCAGAATCCCCATGTGTTGTGGGAGGGGCCCAGGGGAGGTGATGATGGCAGAGCCTCGGTGTGGGAATGCTGCATGGACCTGAGCTCAGCGTTCCTGTTTCACGATCTGACTGCACAGACACCGTGAATCCGAGTGCAGTCTGCACTCAGAAGCCAGGACCAAGCATACAGCAAAGCAGATGAAAAGTCATGTCCAACCAGAGCCATTCCAACAGTAACTCTGAAAGTGAGTCCTTCACATAGCAGAGAAACCCCATGAGATAGGCACCCACAAAAGCCTCAGCCATTTACTCCTTATCACCCTATACAAAGGCACCTAAGATATGCCAGGAGAAGAAGATGACATTTTATTATCAAGAGTCGAGCACCACGGGAGGCCCTTACACATCTGTGATCTTATTTAAGCTTCATAACTGGCCCTGTAAATAAGGTTTATTATGACAGTTTTAAGATGAGATCACTGACGGTCAGAGACAGCTTCGTATCTTCATCCTGTCTTCTAAAAGTGCTCCAATTGATTCATCTAAAAAGAAAATCTGCTGATCCCAAATATAGCCGTGAGGGACAGGTATCACCCACAAATTCATCTATCTGGGCATCATAGGTCTTCTCAAGTTACTGCCATGAGACGGTAGCTTCCCAAAAGGGGTTCCAACCCACAGGGAAGCACAGTGACAGATGAGTCTTCCATTTCTAAGTAGAAACACCTCACTTTTTATTGATGCACTCAGAGGCTCTGCAGGCCGCCCTTGGTCTGTGTGACAGGGCCACTAAGGGTGTGTCACAGCATGGTGCTGTGATGCCCAGGCTCACAAATCTTAACTGACCCAGAGCATTTGTGAGCAGTACAAGTTGAACTTCTGTGTTTTGTTTTTCGGGGATTCCTCTGAGACAGGGTCTCACTCACTTGCTCAGGCTGCAGTGCGCTGGTGCACTTACAGCTCACTGCAGCTTCCAACTCTCAGACTCAAGTGATCCTCCCACCTCAGCCCCGCAGTAGCTGAACCTATAGGTGCGCACCACCATGCCTGGCTAATTTTTTTCAATTTTTAGTAGAGACGGGGTCTCGCTATGTTGCATCAACCGGCTGGTCTCTATCTTCTGGCCTCGAGGGATCCTTCCATCTGAGTCTCCCAAAGCGCTGTGATTATAGGCGTGAGCCACCACGCCTGGCCAAGTGAACTTCAGAAAGTGTTCTTCCTTTTCAAGGACTCACATGTCAGAAACCTGGAATGCCACCAATCAAGGCCAGGAAGCTGACTGTTGTGCCAAATCACAGCATTCTACATGGCGCCTCCTCTAACCAGACTGTCCCGGACTAGAGCAGCCAAGGTCAGGGAAGGGGATGGACCCCTGCCTCAAACACACTGAATCAGCTGGCTCTGCATAAATGAGGAAGCGCATCTCAGACACGAGGTGCGATGAGCTTCCTATGTGAATGAAGTGCATGTAATTCCACGTGGGGAATGTGTTAACAGGACTCTTAATACATTGAGCTTGTTAACTATAAGACAGGCCAAAGGTTGAAACTATTTTTCATTTGCCACCGTTGGCTGCGGCAGGACTTTTCTAGTTCACAGGCACGCCGTACACAAAATAGAATGTACCCAGATGTACATGTATTACATTGTGTGCGCGAATGCATACCTGGAGCAATTCTTTTCCGGTCTCACTCTCACTTTAGGACAGAAGTCACTTCTGTGAAGGACACAGCAGCCGTGGTGAGATTACCCACAGAAACCCAGATCGGATCCCTACCCCACCACTTCCTGCTGGGCCCTAGAGAGGATTAAAGGAGCTAAAATGGGGAAGCATTTCGCATAGCCTCTGGCACATACCAAGCGATGTGGAAGCATCAGCTATAATTTGGCCAAAGTCTGCAGACTGGAACCTCAGTCTTGGGAGGCCTGCATGACCCCGCTGGCTAATGATGGCTGATCAGCCCACACAGCAGCATTGCAAATAGGCCGGCCCATGTATTCTTTGTATCTGAACACTCACTTTCAAATATAGGTAAGCATTTCAGATATAACCTGGAGCAAAAAAACTTTCCATAGCAGGTATTCTCTAACCACCAGGGCAACTCTTTATGCCTGTGAAGGCTCTTAGTAACAAAATTAAGAACTTTCAAAAAAATAAATAGGAAACTTGGCCAACAGAATACAAAAATAAAGACTGTGTATCCTCAAGGCAACTTCAGTTAGAATGCTACATCTTTCTGATCCAACAATTTTTTTTTAATATTAAATAATGCAAGGCAGAATGGTAGATTTTAAAATACCACAATTAGGCTGGGCATGCTGGTTCACACCTGCTAACCCAGCATCTTGGAAAGCCCAGGTGGGTAGATCACTTGAGTCAGGAGTTTGAGACCAGCCTGACCAACATGGTGAAACCCCATCTCTGCTAAAAAGACAAAAATTAGCCGAGTGTGGTGATGGGTGTCTGTCATTCCAGCTACTCGGGAGGCTGACACAAGAATCACTTGAACCTGGGAGGCAGAGGCTGCAGTGAGCTGAGATCACACCACTGCACTCCAGCCTGGACAACAGAGTGAGACTCTATTGCAAAAAAAAAAAAAAAAGAAAAAAAGAAACTATCATAATTCTAATCTGTGAGTATGACTTGGTGTACCAGCACTGGCATTACATAAAACAAACCATTCTTTTCTACTTAATTCCACGTAGGCAGCGAGTCTTTTAAGAAGATACCCGACTTGGAAGTTTTCCATGTCTTAGGATTTTTAATAAAATGTTAACTTAAACAGTTATTGGTCAAATGCATACTGTGTGTTTTCCGAAATAAAAAAAAAAGTACATATGTAGTAACTCTTTCATGTTTCCCAGTAACATATAAGTTTTATGCATGTATGCTCATGCGTATCATATAGTATGTACTTATTTAACAACAAAAACAATCAAACTCTGTAAAATAATTGAAGAGATTGATTCTAAGCCAAATGTGAGTGACTATGGCCCACGCCATAGTCCTCAGGGGATCCTGAGAACACATGTTCAAGGTGGTTGGGGTGCAGCTTGGTTTTATACATTTTAGGGAGACATGAGGTGGGCAGATCACTTGAAGTCAGGAGTTTAAGACCAGCCTGGGCAACATGGTGAAACCCCATCTCTACAAAAAACACAAAAATTAGTCAGGTGTGGTGGTGCATGCCTATAGTCCCAGCTACTTGGGAGGCTGAGGCAGGAGAATTGCTTGAACCCGGGAGGTGGAGGTTGCAGTGAGCCAAGATCACACCACTGCACTCCAGCCTAGGCAACAGAACAAACAAACAAACTCAAAAAAAACAAGCAAACAAACAAAACTCCTGTCATTCTAGAAATGTCTACAATTCAGCTTCACCTGCCTCCGTCCTCATGAAGGTGCCGGGGAACGTGGTGGGTGCGCCTGTCTTCTTGGTTAGGTTTGTTTTGTTCCTCTTTGGTGCGGGGTTTGTCTGTGTGCGGGGCTCCAGCGTGAGGGGTCCCGGCTCCATCACAGCCTCTTAACCACCTCAGTGATGGGAAGGGTGGACTTGGACAAAAACCAACTTCAAATCTGCGCTCCCCAACATGGAGTGTGACCTGTGGCAGGCTCCCAAGGCTCTCTGGGCCTCAGCTTCCTCTTCTGCACAGAGGGGTGAGGATGACGCCAAGCACACAAAGTAGATGCCAGGGCAACACGGACGATGCCAGAAGCCCCCGAGTGTGATGTCTGGCCCCCAGGACGCATGATAAACGCCTGCTCTTCTCACAGGAGGGGGCTCCAGCAAGGTAAGGTCTGAACATGTGTCTGATGATTCAAATCGTCCCAGGCCCATTTCACAGGACACCACCCTGACTTCCTCGCAGAACCCCAGCACCAGGTAGCTGAGCTATTTCAGAGGCTTAAGACCAGCTCGCGGAGAGCGGCCAGGCCAGAGGGAGGAGAGACATCCATTCCCATCGGCATCTTGTGAGTCCACAAAAACAAATCAGCAAGTATTTATGAAATGCTCGGAGCTATGGGCTTCTGTTGGCCTGTGTTAGAATAGAAGCTACCAGCAGTTAAGTGTGTTGATTTGTGTCAGCCTGGGTTAAGCAGGAAGGAAGATTTCAGACAAAGCTGAATTCTTGAACACAAATTCATTTTGCCTGTGCCCTTTGGCATTCCTGAATTTCAGGCTTCTTCGGCCTGAATCTGGAATCAGGGAACTCCCTACCTAGTCTTTTCATCTGTGGCTCCCGGTTCACCATGCTTATCTTTCCTTACAATGTTGGTGCCTTAGGCCTCAGGAAACCAGGTATTTCTCTTTGACCTTCTCCTGCCCTCCTTTCGCCTGTCCCAGTCACGACTCTAACCTGATAGTGGGTCATTAGGCCCTCCTTCCAGAGACGGTCCTGCCCCATAGCCTAGAGGAAGGAATGCTGCAGAGAGGCCTCGGGGAATCTGAACAGACAGGCTTTGCCGGGCTTAGATCACACCCTTTCTGTCCAATCACCACTTTTTAAAATTCATTTTTTTATTTTTTGTTTTTATTTTTTGTTTAATTGAGATGGGGTCTTGCTCTGTTGCCCAGTTAGAGTGCAGTGGCGCAGTCTCAGCTCACTGCAACCTCTGCCTGCTGAGTTCAAACAATCCTCTCGCCTCAGCCTCCCGAGTGTCTGGGACTACAGGCACGCACCAGCACGCCCAGCTAATTTTTGTATTTTTAGTAGACACAGGGTCTCGCCATGTTGGTCAAGCTGGTCTCGAACTCCTGACCTCAAGTGATCCGCCCTCCTCGGCCTCCCAAAGTGCTGGGATGGCAGCGTGTGCCGCCACGCCCGGCTTGTCCAATCACATTTTGACATGGTTCCCTGTGCCTCAATCATGGACAACCAATGAAGTCTACATAAGAGGCCGAGAGGACAGGGGTCAGGGAGCTCCCGGAAAGCCGAGCATGTGGGGGCCGACAGGAAGGTGAAGAGGAACTCACTCCCACACTCCCATGCCACGAAGGCTGGGCACCCCAACTCCGTGGCACCCCCATTCCTTGGCCCCCCTTCCAGACCTTGTTCCATATGTCTCTTCGTGTGATCGTTCATTTACATCCTTTGCAATATCATTTCTAATAAACTAGTAAACACACATAAGTAAGACTTTCCCAGCAAATTAATTGAACCCAAAGAGGGGGTTGTGGGACCCCCCATTTAAGCTGGTGGATCAGAAATCCCATAGGCCTGGACTTGCGACTGTTGGGAAGGAAGTGGCGCTCTTGTGGGACTGAGCCCTCACCCTGTGGTTGAAGACGCTACCTCCGGGAAGATAGTGTTGGAATTGAACTGGGGGACACCCAGCTGGTGTCTGCTGCTAGGGGTGTGGGGAAAACCCCACACCTTCGGTCACGGGAGTCTCCTGGGTCAGCGATTGCTGTGGCGCTGTGAGAGCAAACTCAGGGTTCGAGTTTTCTCCTGAAACACATTCCCGAGGTCCCTAGTGGGTCTGCCTTCTTGCCACCTTCCAGAGCCTTGTTTGTTTTTAATTTAAAATCCTAGGTTTGGGGCTGTAATTAGAGGGAAGAATAAGGGAAAATACATCTTTTCCATCTTCCCAGTAGCACTGTCCTGCTGTGTTTGTCTTTTTAATAGATTTGTAATGATACTGAACTCAAATCAAGAGCTACTAAAGAGGTTTTTTTAAGGATACCATCTAATCAATGCCCCAGACTAATAGTTCCCTATCACACACAATGGCCCACTGCATCACACAGCACTCAGGACAATGATATTTCCACACTAATTTTATCATTTAGGGTCAATGCAATGCTAAGAAAATGAAACTGCTGATGTCACTCTCTGAATCTTTCCCACTGCTTTCAAAAGTTTCCTTTAGCAAAAATGTAGTTTAAAAAATATCATATTCTATGCAAATAGATACATTCTATGGAAAACTTGAAAGTCAGTACAACCCAAGGAGTTTATAAATCCAAGGAAAGAAAAAGAGATAAGAAAAACAGATAACCAGCTTCACGTCATATGGGGTACAAGGTGACTTTGTAGCGGTTTGGAGGAAGGAGGAATTCTTCCCTCTGCTACGAACAGCAAGAAATCCTTCACTGAAAGACGGGATCAAATTCAAGCTGGGCACGGCCAGGAACGAGGACAGTCCCAGAGACAGAGCCACTGTAAGCACCTGTGAGAACAGAGGAAACACGAGCACATACGGCGAACTGCAAATCGTGCGTAAGGGCTCAGGTGCCAGTAGGCAGACAAGGGGCGAGATAAGCTGGGGGTGCTGCAGGGGCTCTGAGCAGGGAAGGTGACCGGCCCCAGGAGGCCCGGCAGAAAGACCCCTAGTGAGCTGCAGAAGAAACAGCAGTAGGGAAGCCAGGATTGAAACGAAGCTGGAGCCTGCCTGCGCCAGCGTTCACAGCCAGCGGGACCATGGAAATCTGTCACCACAGTGATGAATCCATTATCCTAAGAATCAACATCTGTTTAGATGTGTGTATGTACATGTGTGCACATGTGTGTGCAAAATTTCATTTTCCTGGAGAGGGATGTTATATGAAGTCTCAATACAGCAAGAAGGTCAATTTTTATCTGGAATCATAAATTTTCAGCCAGGCTTGGTGGCTCATGCCTGTAATCCCAGCACTTTAGGAGACCAAGTGGGGAGGATCTCTTGAGCCCAGGAATTCAAGACCAGCCTGGGCAACATACTGAGACACCCGTCTCTACAAAAAAAAAGAAAAAAATTTAGCCAGGCATGGTGGTGCAGTAGTCCCAGCTGAGAGGTGGAAGGATCACTTGAGCCCAGGAGGTTGAGGCTGCAGTGAGCTGAGATCACACCACTGCACTCCAGCCTGGGTGACAGAAGACCCTGTCTCCAAAAAATAAGTAAGACGGGCGCAGTGGCTCACACTCATAATCCCAACATTTTGGGAGGCCAAGACAGGCAGATTACTTGAGGTCAGGAGTTCAAGCCTACCCTGACCAGCATAGTGAAACCCTGTCTCTACTAAAAATACAAAAATTAGCTGGGCATGATGGCAGGCACCTGTAATCCCAGCTACTTGAGTGACTGAGGCATGAGAATCACTTGAACCCAGGAGGTGGAGTTTGCAGTGAGCAGAAATCATGCCACTGCACTTCCACCTGGGCAACAGAGCAAGACTCCATCTCAAAAAGAAATTAGAAGTTAATAAAATGAATTTTCTATTTCTCCACAGAACTTAAAGATAACAAAGCATGAAATTGTCTCCCAAAGGCATTCAGTGTAACTCAGGTGTTCATTAACAAATACAGTTGACCTTAATTAAGTTTCTCCTGAACACACAGCACACTAATGAGCGTGCAAAGCCCCTTGGCACCCCTGGGATTCCCAGGCCCCACTCCAGGAGGCTCTGGGCCGAGCCTCCCAGCGCACACTGCTCGCAAGTGGCCACTGTGCCCTGCCATCTCCAAGTATAATGTTGCTTTGTCCACTCCTGCTGAGACCAGGACAATCAATTCTCTTTCTCCCATCTTAATACCCACGTTCATATTCAGGCCACTGTTGCTGGTCAATAAAGCAGAGGAACTCTGCGAATGAGACCTTGCATGCAGAAGGCACCATTCAAAGTCCTCAGCAGAAGTGGCCACGCGGCAGGTTTCCCTTCCAGATACAAACCTTCACTGGCGTTTCCTCCAAGGTCTTGTGTTCAGTAGGAGCTGGTGTTCATCTTAAACCCACCCTCACTCTACTCTAGCTCAGCACACATACAGTGCAAACTTGAGAGCTGCTTGTTGAGTTGAATGAATCATGGGGGCTTACAGCTGCTGAATGCTAAACCTTTTTGGAAGGGTCTATACCTATGGGAACAGACTTTTAGAGGAGCATTATCTCCTTTACACAACCTAAACCAGAGATCAGCAAACGTTTTCTGCAAAGGGCCATTTAGTAAATATGTTTGACTTTCCATGCTGTACGGTCTCTGTTGCAGTGACTCAACTCTGCCATCGCAAGGTGAAAGCAGTCATAGACAATGCATTTAAGTGCAAGCATGTGGCTGTGCCAATAAAACTTTATTTACAACAGCCAGCAACAGGCCTGCATCAGTCCCTGGATCTGTAGAAAGACCATGTCATTGACCAAATGGTCTCCAGTCACACAAACACTAATTGTCAGGCTGTGGGTCACCATATTATGACCTCAAAACCCACCCAGAAGCATCTCCTGAGTGAGGCTAAAATAGAAATTAATATAATAGGAAAGCCAGCTAAAATCTGATTCCTGGTTGGGCACACTGGCTCATCCTCTAATGCCAGAACTTTGGGAGGCCAGGGTAGGGGGATTGCTTTAGCCCAGGAGTTCAGCCCAGCTTGGGCAATGCAGCAAGACTCCATCTCTGCAAAAAAAAATTTTTTTTAATATTGATCAGGCATGGTGGTATACACCTGTGGTTGCAGCTACTCAGGAGGCTGAGGTGGGAGGATTGCTGAGCCTGGGAGTCTGAAGTTACAGTGAGCTGTGGTCACCCCACTGCACTCCGGCTAAGACAGGTAGAGGAAGCTCCCTCACAGCTGGGGCAGAGGACGCCAGGGAAGTACAAACATGAGTCAGGCTTTGCCTTCTGCGAGTGAAACCAGTCATCAGCAGGCCCCCTGCTCGACTCCAAACAGCAAAGGAAGAAATTAAATACGGTCATGTCTCCCAGACTGCTGAGCCCTCGGGTGGCAGACGATAGCCACCTCGAGTGTCCCCTGCCTTCCCTCCCCTCGCCTTGGCCTCCCCATTCATTAGATACTTGTTCGCTGAGGGCCCAGCTGAGCCTCCCTCATCCCTTTGTGACCTGCCTGCCGGTGTAATCTGGGTGACAGGCACCCAAGGCCAGGAGACAAATGTTTGCTTAGCAAAAGTCACATGGTGCTTCCTCATTCTGGGCACGGTTCTGAGAACTTTGCCAGTGTTAACTTGCTGACTCCTAACAATGCTCAGGTGGTGCCCTTTCTCCCATTATTATACAGGAGGAGCCTGGTGCAAAAGAAGGTGACACAGCCACAGCCTGAGTGGTGATCAGCAGATGCCCTGATCTCCAGAACCTGTGCCCATGTTACACGGGTGAGGGGTGATGAGCCCGCCAGTCAGCCACCCTGAAAACAAGGAGCTAGCTTGGATGACCAGGAAATCACAGAAGTCTTTTAAACCCTTGGAAGAGGGAGGCAGCGGGGCTGGTTCAGAAGGATGCTATGTAGGACAGACCTGGCCTGGCTGCCTTTCCAGGGAGAAGATGAAGACAGGAAATTGGGCAGGCTCCAGAAGCCAGGAAAGTCTAAGAAACAGGTTCCTCCTCTCAGGCTCCAGAAAGGAATATGATCCTGCAAGCTTTGACTTTAGCCCAGTGAGAGGCCATTTAGGACTTCTGACCTCCAGGATCCTAAGACAATAAATCTATGATTTTTATTTTTATTTATTTATTTAAGACAGGGTCTTCCTCTGTTGACCAGGCTGGAGTGCAATGGCACAATCATGGCTCACTGCAGCCTCAACCTCCCAGGTGCAAGAAATCCTCTTACCTCAGCCTCCCAAGTAGCTGGGACTACAGGTATGCACCACCACACTTGGCTAACTTTTTTATTCTTTGTAGAGACAGTCTCTCTGTGTTGCCCAGGCTGGTCTTGAACGCCTCGGCTCAAGTGATCCTCCCCACTCAGCCTCCTAAAGTCCTAGGATCACAGGCAGGAGCTACCATGCCCAGCAAATTTGTGTTGTTTTAAGTAACTAATTAGTTACAGCAGCAATAGGAAACTGACACAGATTTTGGATCTGGGAGCAAAGAGAGTCTGCCATGAACATGGAAGTGGCTTTAGAACTGGGCAATGGCAGATCTGGGAGGATTTGGGCATCATGAGACGGCAGCCTGGATTGGCCTAAACAGATGGCCAGCAGGAAGGTGCACTCGAACAGCCCTGTTGGTGAGGAATCAGAAGGAAGTGAGAAGCGTGGCAGAGAAAACCTGCGTTCCCATAGTGAAGAGCTCCACCAGGAGAAGCCAGGTACAGGTGGAAGCCTGGGGTTGGAATGAGGACTGCATTATTGGAAGCTGGAGGAACGGGGATGTGGTGCTGGAGAGCTCAGCTGAGTCCTACCCCACAGCTGTGAGGGATGTCAAACTGTGTGTGATAAAGCTGGATATTTAGCTGAGGAGATTTCCAAGCAAAGTGTGGAAGGTATGGATTTTTCTTGCTGTTTACATTAAGATGATGAAGAACAGATAGGACGAGAGAAGAATTGTTAAACAAAGAGGAGCAGGGCTTGGTGATGTGGGCAGTCCTCAGTCATGCAGATTGCTGGGAAGCTCACGCTCTGAGGCCCACCATCCAGAACACCCGCACTGGAGACCAGGCCCTGTCATGGCCATACAACCTTCTGCTGGTGCCTCAGAAGGACCGAAAGGCCTGAGCATTCAGTCACCCAGAGGACTCTGAAGAGACCAGGATGTGGACACCTTTTGGAGAGGGCCACTATTCTGTTGCCACAGCCTGGCCTCAGGCTCCCACAGATGTGCATCCATTCCACATGCAAAATGCACTTACTCCCTCAACACCTGGTCCCCGCAGACGCAGCTGGAGCTGAATGCCGGTGCACGGAAGCGGCTCAAATCTGGGTTCCTGCTGCCTTCCAAGCTGGGTCTTCAAGGGCCAGGTACCAGAGATGCAAACGTGAGTCAGGTACTGTCCCCCCACCCCCTGGCCACCAGGCCACGGCCTTGAGGAGGGAAGGAAAAGGAATGCAGAGGGCATCACGTCTCCAGGGATCTGGGGACCAGGTGTGTCCTGGGCACACCAGCCGCCTTCTCACACCCCGTCATATTTTCTTCAGAGCAGCAATCAGATGTGAAGCTGTACCATTCACTTCTTGCCTGCCTTCCCCTCCTCTGGAACCCAGAGTCTGCAGAGCAGCGGCCAGCGACATGCTCACCACTGGAGAACAAGCGCCCAAGCAGTGCCCAGCACCAGGGAAACTCGGTTAATATTTGCCAAAATCACAACACCGTTGTAGACCGTCTTGAGCAACCGGGAGACACAGAGGAACCCAGGGGCGTGTTCTCCAGGGCTCTGCCTCCTCGCTGGGCAACCTCCTCTTGCTTCGTGGATTATCCGCCCATGCACAGCAACCACTCCACATCTGTGGGCCCAATTAGACAATGCTTGGGAATGACAAGGGTCCCCTAAAAGGGCATAATGGGATGAAGTGTGCTGGAGTTGGATGAACCAAGCTCTGAATCCCACTTAACTTCTGCTGTCCTCCCATCTTTTTATTTTATTTTTTTGATGGAGTGTTGCTCTGTCACTGAGGCTGGAGTGTGATGGCACAATCTCGGCTCACCGCACCCTCCACCTCCAGGATTCAAGCAATTCTCCTGCTGCAGCCTCCCAAGTAGCTAGGATTTCAGACACCAGCCAACATACCCAGCTAGTTTTGTATTTTTAGTAGAGATAGGGTTTAGCCATGTTGGCCAGGCTGGTCTCGAACTCCTGACCTCAGGTATCTGCCAGCCTCAGCCTCCCAAAGTGTTGGGATTACAGACCTGAGCCATGGCCCCAGCCCTGTCTTCCCATTGTTAACATGCAAATGACCACACCTCCCTCTGGAGGACTGTTGTGTCAGCAGACTAGGCAACGCACTTCCGCCCTGACTCCTCTACTCTCCCTCTTCAGCTCCAACCGCCGCCCACCCTGCTGGCCACAAGCAGCCAGGTACTGGGTGTAGACCGACCCCCGTGCAAGCATTTTTCCCGTGAAACATCCTGTCACCCTCCACACCCCTGCACCCTCACCCCGGCCCACCCTGCCTGTGTTGCTAAAAGCAACTTCGAAGTGGTTCCTCCTCCAGCTGGTCCTTGTCTTTCTACCTTGGTTATGACAATGACAACAAAAACAACCTGAGAAGCAACGCCTGTGGGCTGGAGAGATTCAGGAGCTGAACAAAAGGAGCAAAAGAATAGAGTCTCCTAAAAGTTAAATTCTGAGTTTCCAACAATGATTACAGAAAAGGCATCTGTTCCTATCTATCTCTCTTTTCCCTTCAAGTACCCAGTCAGGCCACAGGCCACTGAGGAGCCAGGCATGGATGCCCTGTGTCCCTGCCAACTCTGGGCCAGGGCCGCCTGAGTGTGTACACGGGAGATCAGGAATGTGAAGAAGGGGGCTGGCCACCCTCTGCTCTGAGGAGCTCTACTGGAGTCACCCTTAGGGTCTTTTGAACAAGCAGCAGCAGGAAATGAGCTGCCGCCCCCACCCCCAGGAACTCTTCAAGACATCTAGGACATCGCATCAGCACAACTGCCAAAATCCTCTGGTGATCAGGATTCTGGCTGCATCATGTCCTTGGTGCTGAAGAAGCAAGAGACCAGTGGAAACGAAACTGCCACTTCATTCTGTCCGACGCAGGGGCCCCCTCTAGCACCGCAGGGCAGCTCTTGTTCCAGAAACATTGATCGCTACGTGTTAGGAGTCTGCCTCCAATGGTGGCCACTACAGGGGTTTCAGTTTGGGTCCCCCAGTAACATTCCTGCATTCACTTTGTAACGTAAACCAAGCGCAGCAGTAAATCCCAGCCAGCCAGCGAACGCAGCAGAGGAGCAAAGCTTTGTATAAAAGCAAATTGGGTTTGAGTTGACTTTGTACAAAAGCAAACTGGGTTCGTGAATTGGGTTTGATTTGACTCCTATAGCTTGCATTCCATCATTACCAAATGCTCAGTGTGCAGGAGTCAGCTCAATAAACCTCACCCTGCAGCCTGGCAGTGGGGGAAGGCAGAGTTGGAGCAAAGATCAGGGAAATGCACATCTTTACCTGAGGGACATTGTCTTCACAAGATTGCCAATAAATTAGTCACGATGTTAACTGGGATGATAATAAAAACACTAAGCATCAAAGAAGGCAAAAGGGAGGGGGAGAATTGGAAGTACCTCTGTGAACTTCATTAATTCAGTTTTAAACAGAGAATTCATTATGATTTTGTTTATTCAGCACATTGGTGCACCAAAGATGGCAATTTAAAAATTTCGAACAGGGCCTTTGGGTATATGACTTTTTAAAGTGCTGACATAAAAGAAGTCAGAACTTTCAGAGTTTCAGGCTTCTGAAAACTCACACTCATTGAAAATGTGTCATACTACTTCCAGTTTCTTCATTCACTTACAGTACCTTACTCTTTTTTAAGGGGAAGCGAATATATTCCATTACAATGCTACAATCACCAGTGTTATTTTCCAAAGTTAAACAGGAAGCTTGAATTGAGATCCTCAAAGTTGTACTTTTTAAAAGTCACGCCCGGGCGCGGTGGCTTACGCCTGTAATCCCAACACTTTGGGAGTCCGAGGCAGGTGGATCACGAGGTCAGGAGTTCAAGACCAACCTGGCCAAGATGATGAAACCCTGTCTCTACTAAAAACTACAAAAAGTAGCCTGACGTGGAGGCAGACGCCTGTAAGCCCAGCTACTCAGGAGACTGAAGCAAGAGAATCACTTGAACCCGGGCGGCAGAGTTTGCAGTGAGCTGAGATCGCGCCACCGCACTCCAGTCTGGGCAACAGTGAGGCTCCGTCTCAAAAAAAAAAAAAAAAAAGTCACAGATACTACACACTAAAAATAACTCATTACCTATCCTAAAAATGCCTCCACAGGAAGTTACTCCAAACCCATATGACGTATTTGAGACAAGATCAAGCAGAAGATAAAGTGTAAACGGCGGATATGCCCCGGGCTGGCAGATCTGGAGGCTCCGGTTCGGTCCTCCCTCCCGACTAAACCCAGCAGGAGAAACACTCTGTGCCTCAGTTTTCTCTTTCTTAACAAGGGGCTAATAACACCAGCTCTTGTCGCCCCTCAAGTGAATCGCAAAGGAGATCGTGTTCCTGCGGGTTCTTAAAAACTGAAAACACCCAACCGAGCAGCCACGGGAGCGCCTCTGGTTCCCAGGCAGCAGAGCCGGAGCTCGGGGCCCGGGAGCAAAGGCCGCTGAGGGACACCCGTGACCCGCGCGTTCTCTGCTCCCTGGATTGTCGCCGAGGTCACTGAGTGTCTTAGCAGGCGGAGCTCAGCCCAACCAGCGAGGGAGGACGAGTGGGAAGCCCCGGGAAGGGACATCGCCGTCCGCGGCCAGCACCCTGTGCACGTCCGGTGTCCTGCTGGTCCCCGGGGGCCCCAGCGCCGCGTGTCTCCGGCGGCGCCGGCCTCACCTGCTGTGTCCCAGATGGAGATGTTGTAGGAGCGCCACTGCTTCAGGTAGAAGGCGCCGCCCACCGTGCTGACCGTGTCCGGGAAGCGCCGCTCCATGTACCGCTGCAGCAGCGACGTCTTCCCCACGTTCATGTCCCCCAGCAGCACGATCTTGCTGTCGGGCTTCCGCATCTTCCCGCAGGACCCCCGCAGCGCCCAGCGCGCTCTCCCGGAGGCTGGCTGGCTCGTGCGCCCCGGGCGCGGCTGGAGGAGCGGAGCCCGGACTCTCGGGGACCCGGATTCCGGGGAACGCTGCGGGACCTTCGCCTCCGGACGTCCAGGAGTGCAGGCGAGGAAGCGCGTGTGTGAGCCCAGGCAGGAGCTGGGGACTGAGCCCCGCGCCACTAAGGTGGCCCGGCCCGCGGCGGCTCCACCCCGCCCCCGCCCCTCCACCGCCCGGACCCGCCCCCACCCGTCCTCCAGCCGCGCCCGGCCGCGGCCCTGCTGGACTTCGCCTTTCGCAAGAATCCGAGCTCTCCGGCCAGGGCTCAGGACTGCTGCACGGTGGAAAATGAAAGTTCTGGAGCACCTTCCGCCTCTCCTTCTGCACCGCCCGGGCTGCGGTGCCAGGAGCCTGGCCGCGGGGGCAGAGCGGGGCGGAGGAGCCGGGGCCCTTGGGAACCCCCTTCTCGCTTCCGCTCTCCTTTAGGAAAAGCCCGTGTTCTCTCACTCTCCACCAGCTCTCCTTCTAGCTGCGGCCGATTTGCTTCTCCGCGTGTCTCCAAATGCAGCCACCCTGAAGGTCACTGGAAAAGTTTGCCTTCAGTGAGCGTCTGAGGAACGCGTCCTGAGACTCTCACGGTTGGAGATTAGAGGGCCCGGGGCGGAAGGCGGAGATGGAGGCGCTTTCTATTGGAGGATTTTACTTTTCTCTTTTACTTTTGCAAGAAGCCTTTTATCCTATTTTGTACCTGAAAAATGGACAGCCATCTCCATTTATGGCTTGGAATGAAAATTTGACTTTGGAAGTTGCAATCGCTACTTGAGAAATATTTCCTCCTTCCTTTTTTTTTTTTTCTTTTTGAGATGGAGTTTCCCTCTTGTTGCCCAGGCTGGAGTGCAGTGGCGCGATCGACGCACTGCAACCTCCTCCTTCTGCCTCAGCGATTCTCCTGCCTCAGACTCCCGAGTGGCTGGGATTATAGGCGCCTGCCACCATGCCCAGCTAATTTTTGTATTTTTAGTAGAGACCCAGTTTCACCATGTTGGCCTGGCTGGTCTGGAACTCCTGACCTCAAGTGATCCACCGGCCTCAGCCTCCCAAGTTCTCCTTCCTTTTTTAAGAGTAAACCTTGAAATGCTTTTAAAATATGCAGCGTGTGGAATTTGGTTTGTTGGTTGGTTGGGTTTTTTTTTTTTTTTTTTTTAAGAGAAAATGAGAGGTAGAATCAACTCTAAGTTGAACCCTGGGGATGGTGTCTCTGTGGCCACTGGCCTGGCTGAGAAAGGCTGTGAGCCCCTGAGCGGGTTAGACCTAGCGTTGTAAAGGTGTTCTGTAAGGGGAAGTAGGCCCGCTGCCTCGTCGGGTAGGTGCTCCGAGACTGACGAGGCAGGGATGCCAAGGCGTTTAGTAGCTGGTCAGCCCTGGCATGTCAGGTCGCTGAGAAGAGCAGTGTGGGGCTGGGGTGGGGGCGTGGAAGGCGCACCAAGAGACCACCCTGCTGCCTGGGAGCTCCAGGCTTCTTCTCAGCCAGCACTGCCTCTTCCTCAGAACAAATTTAAGTCAATTCAGCATTTATTCAATGCCTGTTGCATGCAAGTGTCAACCTAAATCACAGAGAGACCTCTAAACGAAAAAGGTATTTATTTTGCAGTAGAGCATTGCAGTAGAAATATGCATGCCATGGTAAACTATGTGCGTATTTAGGGAAGCGAAGAAAGCAACGCTTTTTAAAAAATGAGGCAGATTGCACAATTGTTTGCCAATAATTACCTGTGGCTACAAAGAACCACAATGAAGGCGATGCCACTTCAAGGTGGGGCAGTCAGTGGCTGGGCCACAGCCGTGCGGGACTAACGTTCTGTGGAAGATTGCCCTGGCCTTTGTCCGAAGTTGTGAGTTTTCCAGAGTCCTTTTTGTTATCAGGCATGCACGTGTAAGAACCCTCTCCTCATGGCCTTCCTCAACTCCATTCGTCAGGGTTTTCTTAACATTAGTGACTCCATTTCAATTCTGACAATTTTCACACAAGCAGCAGTGCCTGGCCTGGGGCGACACAAGCATGAGTGAGGTTTGGTTCCTGTTGGCCAGGCACAGTGGCACACACCTGTAATCCCAGTGCTTTGGGAGGCCGAGGCAGATGGATCCTTTGAGCCCAGGAGTTCAAGATCAGCCTAGACAATGTAGGGAGACCCCCATCCCTACAAAAAATGCAAAAAAAAACTCTCCGTGCGTGGTGGAGTGCCCTGTAGTCCTAGCTATTTGGGAGGCTGAAATGGAAGGATCCCGCTGGCCCAGGGGGTCCAGAGTGCAGTGAGCTGTGACTGTACCGCCGCCACACTCCAGCCTGGGAGACAGTGACACCCTGTCTCAAAAAAAAGCTTGGTTCCTGCCCTGGAGAGGTTCACAATGAAATAGAAAATGAATAGCTTTGTTTAAACAAACTAAGCCAGGGCCACAAGGTTGTGAGTAGGTCTAAAAGGCTCACTGCACAGGCGCAGTGAGGATGGGCTGGGACTGGAGCCCGGAGACCGGGAGCTCCGATCCGGAGGGATGTGCAGTGCCTGCAGCCCCACAGAGTCACCAGCCTCAGAGCAAGGACAGAAAGCCCTGGAACTGCGGAATCACACACCTCCTTTTGAATGCTGAGACCAAGAGAGGGAAGCAAGTATGAAGGCCTGAGCTCCGACTTTCTTTCCTCATCTACCAGTCATCCCGTCATTTCCTGCCCAATCCTGTGGTTGGAGGTGCAAGCACAATCCTGCCCAGGAAAGTGCTGGAAGGGTAGGAAGCACCAGACAAATGTCAGCGATGGTCTGGGACAGGGGGAGAGGGTTCTTGTGCTTGTATGCCTGATGATAAGTCTGGAATAACTTGTGCGGAGCTGATTTCTCTTTTGCACAGGGCCCTGTGCTCATTAGACACTGAGGAGTCCAGCTGGTGGCTCCCTTTCCTTCTTGTTCTTCCTGGGAGCTGGGCGCTGTAGGGCTGTTGGCCCCAAAGGGTCGTGGGGTGTCCCTTATGCTGTGCTGAGGTGCAGGATCCGAGAAGTAAAGAGACAGGACACTGAGGAACTGGTGATGAGCATCTGGACTTGGGGGGGCCACGCCACCTATGAGCAGAGACAGGCGAGGCCCGGAACTCTCAGAAGCATCTGTATTTATTAGGTACAAGCAGGGGAAGGGTTGTAAGTGAGGTCATCACCTATAGGCTTAGTGATAGGGCATACATAACCATGTGGGTCACAAGCGAGGGGGCCTCCTCATTAGGTCACCTGGGCAGAGAGGTGGGCCGTGCACAGTAGGGGGCCATTCTCAGTAGTAGAGGGTCGTGTACAGAAAAGGGGTCCACCTCCATTAGATCACTGAGACAAGGAGGTGGGCTGTGTACAACAGGTGTCATGCATAACACTTTTTATCTGGGGACTGGAGACTTCAAAGGATTTCTAATAGAAGGATACTGTAAGCCAGGGCAGTGGGAGCTGACAGACGTGTGCTCTTCTCAAGATATTTATGGGAGGATGATTTGAGCTAGCATGGAATGAGAAAAGACTGACCGGGTGTACACCTGCCTTGACTGGTCACACCAGAGGGGTTCTTCTCCCTCAGTTACTTCCAGGATCTCAGGCCTGAGGCCGACTTTCCACAGGAACTGGATGCAAGGTGCTACAACTCCTTTATCAGGAGGAGAGGCTCCTGCTCCAAGCCTGCCATACAGCGTTTGCCCTTTCAGGCAGGGACGCCACCACCTGGGTCTTTGGTTCTTGTCCTGGTCTGGCTGTTTTCCCATGTACTGCTTCTGTTCTGTGACTGCTCTAGGCATTCCTCCTACTACAAGCTACTATATGGTTATATGGAAGGATTATGTAAATCAGCACTAAACGTGTCGGTACAGCTCCGACTACATCCGTTATATGATTATATAGAAAGATTATACGGAACTAAGTATGATTATATATATAAGCTAGATATAGTAAGCAGTAGGTTATACTTCAGGCACTAATTGTGCCTGGGGTCTGCACCGTTCTCCTTCCTCGGCACCCATGGGGGGTGTTACTCACAGGGCACTGCCATCTTCCCTGTCACCTTTCATTCAGGGCCAGACTTCCCTCACACCCTCTTCTCCTGAACCTGTGCCATCTCACTTCTGTGCCTACCTCTCTCTGGAGAAGCTGCCTCCTAAGGCCACGAATGACTGGCTTGCTTCCTCCTTTTGAGACAGTCTCGCTCTGTCGTCCAGGCTGGAGTGCAGTGATGCAATCGTGGCTCACTGCAGCCTCGACCTCCCAGGCTCAAGTGATCCTCCCACCTCAGCCTCCTGACTAGTTGAGGCTGCAGGCGCATGCCACCACACCTGGCTATTTTTTTCAGATTTTCTGTATAGATGAAATCTTGCTATGTTGCCCTGGCTGGTCTCAAACTCCTGGTCTCAAGTGATCCTCCTGCCTTGGGCTCCCAGAGTGCTGGGATTACAGGCACGAGCCACCGCACCAGCCGTGACTGGCTTGTTTCTAAATCCAGCAAACTCTTTCCATCCTCACATGCTTCTGTGCCCAGCCGGTGGTCAGTGCTCCTCTGGTATTCCCTCTTGGGATTCACATCCCGCCATGTCTCCCATCCTCTCACCGGGAGGTTTGTCTGTTTGTTTTGGGAAATATATTTAAAGTAGAGAATAATATAAAAGATGCCAGCTGTGTCCCTACTTCCAAAAACGGATTTTGTGGGAAGGTTAACAGTCTCTTCCTCCAAAGGTAATCATGTTCATGATTTCGGTTCATGCCTTTCGGATCCATTTGAAAGGCAATTTACCATGTATGCTCATAGCTTTATTCATTTCCTGGGGCTGCCATGACAAAGTACCATGAGTTGGATGGCTTAAACAACTAAAGTTTATTGTCTCAGAGTTCTGAGGCTAGACGTCCAAATCCAAGCCTCGGCAGGGCCATGCTTTCTGGAGACTCTAACAGAGAGGATCCTTCCTGCCTCTTCCAGCTTCTGGGAGCCGCAGGAGCTCCTTGGCTTGTGGCTCCAACCTCTGCCTCTGTTCTCATGCAGCTGTCTTCTTTCTGTGTGTCTCTTCTCTGTGTCCAAGTTTCTGCCTTCTTGCAAAGTCACAAGTCTTATTTAATTAAGCCTTGCCCTACTGCAGTGTGACCCCATCTTAACTGATTACGCCTGCGTGGACCCTATGTCCAAATAAAATCACACCCTGAAACATTGATGTCTTAGTCCATTTGTGCTGCTAATAGAAAACACTCGAGACTGGATAATTTATAAATTATAGAAATGTTTTCCTGGAAGTCCAAGATTAAGGCCCTGGCAGGCCTGGTTTCTGTTGAGGGCCTGTTCCTCATAGATGATGCTGTCCAGGTGTCATCTCGTGGCAGAAGAGACAGAAGGGCCACAGGCACCAGGACACTTTCTTCAACCTCTTTTACTAGAGCACTAATCCAGTCACAAGGGCAGAATCACGTCCCAGAAGGCCCCACTCTTAATTCCGTCGCCTTGATGTTTAAGTTCCAACACAACTTAATTTTGGAGATGCGCATGTATTCAAACCACAGCATTGGAGGTTAGGTCTTCAACATATTTCTGGGGGTTGCAATTCAACACATAACAGCAGTTATAGACAATATATGGGGTCATCTCAGTTCCCCATTGCTGCATAACAAACCACCACCAAATAGAATCATTTAAAACAGTTGTTCTGTCCAGGGCTCAGTGGGTAACTAGGTCGGGCTGGGCAGCTCTGCTGATCTCACTCTGGCCTCTTATGCAGCTGCAGGCAGACAGCAGCTGGGACTGTGAGTCTCTGGAGGCGAGTGGGGTTGGAGGACTGCAGTGGACTGCTCACTCGCACATTTGGTGTTGCAATGCTCCTTCATGTGGCCATCATCCCCACAAGACTGTGCTCCCGGGACCCTCTGCATGGCCTCCCCAGCAGGGCAGCTACACCAGGGCTCCAAAGAGCATGTACCAAGAGATGAAGTGGAGGAGACGAGGCCTTTTACAGCCTAGCTGGAAGTCTCAGCATGACTTCTCCATGTGGGTCAAGAAGGTGTAGCGCTGGTCCAGCTTCAAGGGCCAGGCAATTCCACTTTATCTCTGGATGGGAGGAATGACAAAGAACTGTAGCTATCTTTAATCTGCAAGAGGTTTTAATATTCACATGTAACGTTTTAAGCCATCTTTAATTCATTCTGACTATGGTAGAAGGTAGGGCCTTTATTTTTATGTTATGGATATAGAAAGCAAATTGCCCCAATACTATTTATGAAACAGCTCATCCTTTCTCACCAATTTTTAAACAATCAGCTGAAGTCTTAGTTACATAAGTGTCAATTTCTGGGCCCTCTATCTGTCCAACTCATATATTTTTCTAACCTTGGTCAGCATCACACTGTATTAGAGGAGCTTCCCTCTCATCCTTCTTTGACAACGTTGCTTTGACTATTCCTGAACCTTGACTCCTCCATATGAATTCTAGAATCAATGTATCTAACCTTATGAAACACATTGTTGACATGTATAGTTAAATTTAGGAAGAGTGGATATCTTTATAATATTAAAATGTCCCATTGATGAACATGGTATACCTCTCTATTTATTCAGCGGGTGTTCAAGGCTCCCCTAGAATTTTTACGCTTCTTTCTACTTATTTACCATCAGGAAGTTTATCACTTTCTGGAGCATGCTTTATGAATCCAAATTTTACCCTCTGTTGCTTCTCTCACCTGAGCCGTTTGTCCATTTCTTCATCCACCTACTAAGCCTCTCTACCTGGATGTCTCAATATGGCAACCCACTACATCATTCCTCTGCCCTTCTCTAAATGCAAAGTCATTCATTCTTCCACCTTCTTTATAACCATATTCAGTTAATTACCAAGCCCAGTGGATTTTCCCTTCTAAATAAATCCTTCTAACATATTCTCTCTCTTTTCCCACAGACACCTGCTTGTCTGGGACCTTCCCACGTCTAAGTAGTTAGAATCCACTCCTATTTGTTCTCCTTAGCTGCAAGCTCCTGCCATCCCAATCACTGTTAGACTGATCTTTCACAACCACTGCCTTCTCTGCCCAGAGCCCTGCCACGGCTCCCTGTGTCCTATGTCCACAAGTCCAAATCCTGCCCCTCCCACACACTCACACTTACCACCCTTTTTACCACAGCTCTACCACCTCCTTTACCCCCATGCCCTGTGTGTGGCTTATTTACGGGTTTGTGGTGCAGTTTCCTTCTCCAGGATGTTATCTCCATGGGGAAGAAACTTCTGTGTTGTTCACCACTGGGCCTGGTGAACAGCATCTAGCACACAACGGTCACTCAAGAAAGCACCGAATCGCAGAAGAATGAGTGAATTCCCCTCCCTGGTAAGGCCAGAAGCAACATCCCGTAAGCATATCATGACCAGCTATTCTCCACTTCATTGCTCACTGAGTTTGCCTCACTTGAAAAGCCCTCCAACCCCTCATCTGTGCAGGTTTGGAATGCTGTCCAGGACTCAGGAATTCCATGAGGTCCAGCCCAGGCACACCCCCTTCTAATCCTCTCCCTCTGGGGAGCCCTTTCCTGCCCCTTCATCTGAGTTTCTACCACCCTGCTGGCCTCTTCCATGCAGTTTAGCCACTGACAGTGACTAACTGACTCATTTGACTTTCATCTTCTCTAGTAGTTTAAAAAATCCCTAGGATCAGGAAGTAGGTTCTAACCTCATTCGACACCTCACCCAGTGCATTGCCCCTTTCTCTGCACATGCTAAATGTCAGAAGAAGCCTCATGAGGGCAGGAGCCTTTGTTTTGTTTGTCTGATGTCTCCCAAGTATCTGGCCCTGGAAGGCAATTGGTGCTCAATCGATATACATTTTAATACATTCACTAGAGAGCTGAAATAGTCACTGCTGCTTTTAGAGTCTGGGGAGGGAGGGACTGTCCCCTGCATCTACTCCAGTGCCTGGTACCTAGAATTCACCAAGCAAATTTGTTAAAAAAGTTAAAGGAATTTTCCAGCACTTTGAAAAACTAAACCAAGAGAATATCTCCATATCAAATTTCAGCCACTCCTTGTAAAAATGCCTAAAAGGCTATCAATCACCGTATTCAGACACAGGAGGCAGAGTTGAGGAAGGAGGTAATACAGGGTAAAGAGTCTATTGAGGCTGGGCGTGGTGGCTCACGCCTGTAATCCAAGCACTTTGGAGGTCAAGGTGGGTG